GCGAGAAAATCACGCATCCGGAGGTGGGGTTCATCTAGTCCCTAAACAAAAATGTGTATTAGTTCAGTGAAAATGGACGTCACACTAAACACCAAAACATATAAATGAACTAAAATTTTTAAAAAAAACATACAAGACTAACAAAGGCTAGAGGCTCCTGACTTTGGACAGGCGCAAATTATGCGGCGGGGTTAAACATGTTTTGTGAGATCTCAACCCTCACCCTATACCTCTAGCAAATGCACAATAAACAAACACACAGCAATACCCACAGTAAAACTCAGTTTAAAAGAAGTCCGAGTCCGATTTCAGAATATGTAACAGAAGAAACTAAGCAAAATAACAATGATACATAAATTAACAAAGGACTACTAGCAGTTACTGACATGCCAGCTCCAGACCTCAATTAAACTGGATGAAAGATTATGTCTTCATCATATGACGATCAAGCACAATCCCTCCCGTTAGGGGTTTAGTATCATACCATCATAAAATATATGAGAAGAACATAACCCGTATCATGCCAACAACTGGTTTTAGAATAAATGTGTTTATTTCCACTGTGTCTAAACTACTCCGGCAAAAAATGTTTGGACTCGATGCTATCTAATATCTGGCACGGTGACGGAACATCAATAGACAGAGAAAAGGTAGTTTTCTGTTTATTTATTTGTTATTGTTATGATATCGAAGAATATTTATACATATATAACTGTTTTCTATTGTGAGATGTAATATTTTCTACAATCGTTCTTGATTAACAGAGAAATAAGTTAAAATGCACGTCAAAATGACGAATTGAGTGAACCTTGCCTCGAATTTGTTTAATTTCCCCTTAAATTGTTTACATGGTACGGAAAGAAAGGTACGGAAAGAAAGATATTGACATGGAGATTGCAAAACTAATCACTTTGATCACCTCAATCCTTGTATTTCTGCGTATGGAACGAAAAAAATGGGTCATGTCAAAATGGAAGCACCCGGTTTTGTCAATGTGTTCAACCCGGTTTTGACCTAGATTTCACAAGGCAGAACCCGGTTTTGTCAAAGCAAAACAACCATAATCGCAAAACATAATTGAACTTCAGCAATTAAAAGGAGTTTGGTGGCTGGTTGGAAAACGATTTCTTACAGAGGACAACCTGTTATTTATTTGAATCTGTAAACACTTAATACCTACTTTATTGGAACAAAAATAATTATAATTTTCCTTTGCATTAAAAAAATACTCTAACTGCAAAATAGATAGAAATGAAAGTTAAACTGTAAATTGAGTTTTCAGCTCTCTATACGTTTTTTTATATGAATTATGTAAATTTTAGTGTTCAAACTTAAAATTAGAGTTTATGATCTTAAAAATTGAAGGACGCACATTTGATATGTGATTTTCTTGTACAACAGGATGGTTATCTTTATAAGTCATCCAATCTACCTAGGGGTGTAATATTTCCTATGATCGTTTAAAATAAATCTTCTTAAGGCTAAAGGTTCATTATAAGGCATGATAATCAAACAAATGTATATATGCTTGCAGAATCGCCATAGAAAATGAATGTTTATGGTGGGAAAAGGATTACAATAATCATGCATTACAAATCAAATCTATCTATCCCTAATTGTAACTATAATACTAAGTATACATAAGTATTATGATAGTCTCAGGCCATCGAGAAAATGCAATAATGATTAGTTTATTAATAATTAAATAAATAAACGCTTTTGTTATCTCTCCATTGTGTTATAATTATCGTACATTGACGTTGGTTAATATACTATTGACAATATATAGAGACGGATTCAGGTTTTTTTTAAAGTGGGCGTAATTCAAACAGCTTACATACCGCAGAGCGTAGCGAAGCGAACAATGTTTTGGACGAATTATGCTAAAAAAAATCGTAAAAAAAAAGATTTAATTTTTTTGGGCCATCAAAGGTGGGGTGGGGGCGTCTGACTTATACGCCGCCTGGATCCGCCACTGATGTTATATAACTAAATCGTATACCAACTTAAAATTTTATAAGAAATAAGAAAGCAGGGACACCCGCGAAATTGGATGTATGTGAGTAGGATTATCATGTTTATTCTAAAAATTCACATTGATATTTTGGAATTGTCGGAATGCGAAACCAAGGGATGCAAATTCGTGGCGGCTTGAACTATTTGTATGAAGCTTCATATGTCAGAAGTTAGAAGGCCTGATTGCAACATACCTCGCACACAGATCTTTTATGTAACGATGTTTCTATCTGTCATATGTCCATTGCCCTTGACCTCATTTTCATGGTTCAGCGATTTCCTAACAAAATGAATAGCTGAGAATGGTTGATATCTATGATCAAGGTTAACATTTCGTGTTCAAGTCCGTATCTCTAATACCATAAGTAATAGGTCAACTATATTTGCTCGTATGGCGCACATGACTATTTAAGTGGCCTTGAACTTATTTTCTTGATTAATTGGTAAATGTTAAGTTGTTTTTTTTTTTGGTTGGTTTTAATGATTGTAATGTGCTCATGTCCGTCTGGCATGTTTCATCAGACCTTGACTTTTTTGTGGTTCCATGAACAATGTTAATTTTTTAAGATACTTTTATTAAATTATTTATCTTACAGACCTTCAAAATAATTTCGATAACGATCATTCCAGCAGTCGCGATATGCCACTGCGTACAGTCACTCCTGTATAAATAATACAAAAAAAAACGCAATTGAAGTTGTTTTGCCATGTCTGATTAGTTTATCTCGTTCTTGTAAGCCTTAATTATGAAATGATAGACTTTTTTTTTAATTCAAGAACGGTGCAATCTTGTTTGGAATTCTTGGTTGGTTTTAGCTCACCTGACCCCAAGGGAAAAGTGAGCTTTTTTCATCACTTGGCCCCCGTCGTCAATCGTGTTCCGTTAATTTTTTACATAATCTTCTCCTCTGAAATTACTGGGCTACAATACATTTAACAAACCTTATACACAATCTTATGTCGGTTTTAAAAGGTCTAAGAACTTATGTTAAACTGTTTTTCATCATCATTGGGGTATCTAGTTTAAAAAGTTTTTGATGACCCCCACTTGTCAACAAAGATGGCCAACATGGCTTAAAATAGAACATAAGGGGATGCAAGTTTTGTTTATTATTTGAAAACAACTATAGATAGAGAAAATTTAACAGGGGCAGATATGTTCATAATGTTGAGCTCTACCTTTTGTCCATACACATCAAAACTCTCACACGAATTTTTATAGAAGTAAATGTCCTTGAATGACAAATTTCTCCTTTTTTTTCCATTTCTGTCTATTATCTTGAAATATATAAAAGTAATATAGCAAAAATGATCAGCAAGACAATATATACGAATAAGTCGACTTGGTCGATATCCTTGTAAGAATTATTGACCTTCAATTACGATTTTTACCATTTCATTGCGTTTTTGCCAATTATCTTACAAACATCTTCTACTCTTTAACAATTTAATTAAACTTGGCCACACGCTTTATTGAGGTATTTGTTTGAAAACCCACATGATCAGCCATTTGTTAATTTATTTTTGTTTGTTTCAGGGTACCAGTGTGTGGTAACATTGTTTTTCATAAAAAAAAAAAAACGGGTTCTATACATAGACAAAACCGGTTCATTGTTTAGTAAACAACATTGACAAAACCGGGTGCTTCCATTTTGACATGACCCATTTCTTTCGTTCCATACGCAGAAATACAAGGATTGAGGTGCTCGAAGTGACTAGTTTTGCAATCTCCACGTCAATATCTTTCTTTCCGTACCTTTTCTTTCCGTACCATGTAAACAATTTAAGGGGAAATTAAACAAATTCGAGGCAAGGTTCACTCAATTCGTCATTTTGACGTGCATTTTTTTCTTATTTCTTCGTTAATCTAGAACGGTTGTAGAAAATATTACACAAGTAAATTATCTCACAATAGAAAATAGTTATATATGTATATATATATTTTTCGATATCATAAAAATAACAAATAAATAAACAGAAAGCTACCCTTTTCTCTGTCTATTGATGTTCCATCACCGTGCCAGATATTAGATACCATCGAGTCCAAATATTTTTTTGCTGGGGTAGTTTAGACACAGTGATTTCCGATGCAAAGACCCTATGAGTAAATGAATATTAAGTCCAAAATATGCCATCTTTAATGACCTGACAACAGTATCGTAACTATATCCCTTCTGAATAAGTCGGTTTGGTTAGCTTTTGAGGTGAATGACGACATGTTTGTGCTTTGTATAAAAGATTGGATGTGAAATACCTGAACGTATAAGATGTCTGCATGTTGATTTATATTTACGAATGAAGTCCTTGAACTAATGATAAAATTAAGTAGATGTTTTGACTAGTTTGTGATATCGAAAACCCTGGTGCAATAATTTTTCATTAATACCGAGATTTCTTTCGTTAAAATCAAATACGTTGCTACATACACGAGCAAATCGAACAAGTTAAGATATATAAACACCATAAGATGGTGACAAGGGAACGTCACCATCTAAAAATGGATAGTTAACAATAGGAAATGAACAATCATCTCTTTTATCGTAAATTTTGGTATTAAGCTTCCAATTAAAGATATAGATATCATGATCCAGGAAAGGGCAGTGTTCATTGTTTGTATTAGCTTTATCTAAAGTCAGTTCAGCATATTTGTATGAATTAATACATGTGATATGTATATGAATGTTCAAGGTAAAACTGTTTAATCTGTTTGAAAAAATTAATAGATTTATTTTTCTTTAGTCATCTCTTTTTGATAAATAGGGTCTTCACTTACGTTTAAAGAGGTTTCCCTTTTTCTGTACTTTTCGTTACAGGAAGAAATGAAAATAAATACCCAGGTTGTCTAATTGTATGTTCAAACACATGATTTTTACACGTGAAGCAGTGAAAAACTATGTCAATTAGTCAATTAAATTTCATTGAATCATAATTGCCTCCGTTATATTTTATCCTAAGTATATATAATACCAATTAGAGAATATTTCACAAGGAGCGACTTACACTTCTAGTTTATAGTTTATACAGTATGTTCAACAGCTATCAAATATGAAGGATCATACACTGTCGCTCGTTATGTTAGTGCTCGTTGTTTTAACAATCCCCGCCACGATTTTTGCAAAATCGTGCAACAGTTCAGAGTGTGAAACCGTTAAGATGCCTCTCATTTCAAACAATTCAAAAACTCCTCTTGTTGCTGACCTGGACGTGTCTGCTTTACATGCTCAACCTAAGGATTATATTGATGATAATATTGTTTCTACTTTTACTGAAAAAATTGAAAACGCCGTTAACAAAAAGCTACTCAAACTAAAAGACAGTATGCTCAAAGAATATTCTTCGAAGCTGGAAAAATCACATACCAGATATGACCAAAAATTATCAGAGATGCATACCGCGTATGAAAATAGTTTTTTAAATCTATCAGAGAACCATAGTGAAAATGTTCAGGAATGGAAAAGTACGATGATGCAATCAATGAATGAACAAATTGGATATTTCCAGAAATCAAAGATTGTATACGAAAATCAGGTATCCGAAATACTGAGAAATTATAGAAATCAGACATCCCAAACATCTATAGAAGCCATTACAAATTTTACTGATCTCAAAACGGATATGGAAGAGTGGAAACATAATATGGTTGCTGATCTCATCAAATCAATCACAAATAACTTAACACAATTTGAAACGAATATGATTGATGGTAAGTTTGTTAAGGCAAGGTGGTTTATATGTATGTGAATCGCAAAATTTTCAAAACATTTATTGACATAACATCATGTAGGACTTTGTTTAAGAAAAAAATAAATTGCCAGTTGGTTTTATTTGGAGTGGTATCTGTGTTAGATTTTGCTTTGTTCTGTAATAGTTTTGTTTCATTAGTTATTTTTAAAATTTTTGGGTTTAAGCGTTCCCAGTTGATTAGATTCAGAAACGCGCTTTGAACGCATTAAATTTTTTAAGGGTTATTTCATATTTTCTAGCACTTGGACATTACTACTGCTGCTGGTAGACTGATAGGGCCCAGTGGTATCATTAGCTTAGTGGTCAGTGCTCAGGTTCTGACATGAAATAGAGTATAACTTCCTTAATGTGTCCGCTGCCTCATTAAGGGATTATTTAGAAAAGGAGGTTCCAACTTCCTCACTTGAAGGTGCAGTTAACCTTGGATCTCAGTATTTTTGATACTACACCTTTAACTATATTATTTACTAGTATTTCGATCGCATCAATATACTAAATCTTATTTTATACAAAAGATATGTTACAGATTGTTTTACTTGTAAGGAGTAACATGACGTGTGTCACTAGTGGAATATGAACAGCTAAACCTTCTGGAGCACCTGAGTTTCACACCGCTTTTTTTCTTCTGGAGGGGGTCTTTTTCAATCTTTTGTTTCTGTGAAGAAATTTGTTTGTATTGTTGTCCTATCATCGTTTTGTCGTTTTTCTTTTTTGGCCATGACGTTCCCCTCGTTTTTTAAATAAAGTAGTTTTAAAAATCACTCTACACGACCATCATCAAATCTCATCATCCTGCAACACTATGTAAAGGCCAAATAAAATGCGTTTTTACAATTTTGCTTATAAAATAAACATTTTCGAAATTTCAACGAATGTTTTTCCTCAATCTACCATAAAATATGCAAATAATGTCAAAATATTCACAAACTGAAATAAATAGAAAATATTTGACAAAGATTGGCACATGAAATTCATTACAAAAGTATCTCAATTTATTTAAGAACTGAAATTTTTTTTCTTTGCAGCTTTTGAAGGACAAAAACCTATAAAAAGCGTTTTTACAATTATGTTTTTAAAAACAACATAAGAAAGTGTTAACCATTTAAAATCATGTCTGAACTTGCAACTAATGTTTTTCCTCAATCTACCAAAAAAAAACTGTGTGTCAGGAAAAAAACTTAAATCAACAGTATGGATTTTTGAACGCTTTTATTGCATAGACGCTTCAATATACAAAACAATTCAAGCATGGCTATTTCGAAAAATCTTATTTTCTAGTCAGTGCGGCCGTGGCAAAGGCTGGGATATCTCCGAAACATGAAATAACAAATTTGGGATAGGATTATTTTGCTTTTAAAAGGGATGCAGTTTAATTATCTATATGAAAAAAAGGCATTGTGATTGGTGTAATATGTGATACTAAGACATATCCTTGGCATTGCTAATCATTCATTCATTTTTCATTAGATATAGATACGATGAAAGCGAAACTCGAAAGATTTCAAGATATGTTTCCAGGTAATTGTGAGTAAAACTGAAAAGGGTATAGATTCTCAAATTTCTGCGTGAATAAGTTTCAGTATTAAACTGATCACAATAATACAGGTCTTTTAATGAAGACTACAAAAAAAATCATCAAAGATGCTTATAATTGGTTGCATCAGACATAATTCGTCTAAATAATACACATCAGTGGCACTCGAATTAAAACAATACAACCGGTCCTTACAGTGTATCACACAGAGCTGATCAACACTTTGTACGGTTAAAGAAATCCATGAATACTTTAACATAAAATTATAAGCCAAAGAAAAAAAAAAATCAATTGAAATAGGCTTTTAACATTGGATTTTAGAATGTATCAAACAGCACAAAAAAATACAAAAAATTGTCATTGATAAATATTGTAATATTATATTGAAACTATAGTTACAGCTGCCTTTGACGAAATCGTTTTTTTTTTTTAATTTTTATTCAATGTTTAATTTTAATTATAAAGCTCTCCAGGTAGAGTATACATTTGTTTTTGACAGTCTTTTATTGTATAAGAAGTAAGATAAATGTTGAAAATGACAAATAACTAAGATAATTTCGTGCAAATAATGTCAACTTCATAACTATATTTCTCATAAGAGGTTCTGGAAACACAATATTGGAAATCTGCATTCGAGATGTTGAAGCCCAATAATTCCAAAAGTACACAAATTACCACTCTACTGCAGATTAAAGACTTTATTATGAAGTAATATAATTCAAGAAATACATGTACAAGTATAATTGCTTAATGGGATTCATTTATTATTTTGTATCTGTTTTCTAGTGTTTGTTTCGTGCAACACTGAAAAGTTTTGCGAAGAAAATCTAATATATGTTTTACCATTCCTAATGATAGTAAATCGGAAAAACGCTTCTAAAATATGAATTTGAAAAGAGTTATTTTCATTTCCTTACTTTCTATTAATCAGTTGATAAACATATTATGTATGTCAATTTATATTTTAAGAAGAAGTCCGTGATTGCTCAGATGTGAATTGGTATGCTGGTGTTTACCATATCTCACCCGATGACTCACATACGTTTAAAGTGAGATGCGAGACAGGAGGCTGGACGGTACGTATTACATATGATTATGTTGTTTATAAATAAACCATTTGAACGAGAGAGAAAAATAAATTTATAGAAACATACAGCCATGCAATATATGAATATTAAAAAGAAGACATTGAACCCCATTGAAAAATGTTACGTATCTTTGAGCACAATCTATCTTAAAAGATAAAAATTAAGTCATTATTAATGTTTATTTAGATGGTAAATAACAATATACAAAAATGCGTCATCAAGGATAAAAGTATTGATTATTAACTTGGTAACCCAACAATTTCTCAAATATAATTTCCATAAACTAAACCCTGGACAATTATAGGTCTATTTTATGTTTTCCTCAGAATAAAATATGAAGACCTTAACCTTCCCCCACTCTCCGGTGTATACAAATTACATAAGTCGCCTAACAAACAGCGATTCGTTTCATTCCATGGTCTGCCAAACATTTCACAAAAGTCCTTTCTAAAAAAATCAGATTTAAAAATTATTGTGAAACTCCTAATGAAGGGATAGTGCAAATCACATTACTGTGTTACACACAACTTCAGAGGAGTTGCTTTCATAAGGTGTTGCTGTTACAATAACATATGGTCAAAGAACCGTAACTCCCATACAAAATAGTCAAATCAAAATGGGGCTGCAATAAGGTAAGTATACATGATGGCAAACAATAGTACTAAGTAAAAGAGCTTTTCGTCAAATGGTCTCAGAAAAGTTACATTCACAAGGTGCTATTATAACGTCAATATTGTCTGAGCAGAAGGTTGATGAACCAGGTTTATGTCAAAGAACGTCTCGTCCTTTTTCTAAAAAAGTTCATCGGTAGATACTAAGACCTTGTTGATAAAAGAGGGACAAAAGATACCAGAGGGACAGTCAAACTCATAGATCTGATAAATATTCCGTATCAACTTCAAAAACAATACATGATGGTCTTGAAGTATAGATTCTAGGTACTGACGTTCTTAATTGCGTGTTATAGTGTTCTTTTAAATGTCTTCGTACATTATTAACCTTTACTGTTTAGTCCATTTTTAGTAATATCCTTTTGGCGTGGCTCGGTACTTATGCATCCCGCCATTGTGTTGTTATGCTGTGGTCATTTTTTGTATTCTTGTCTTTCATTTTTGCTTATGTGCTTTTCTATATTCCATCTTGTTTTTCTTTGTCGACATATTTGTTTGTTTTTATAGTGATTAAGATCATAACACAATGTTGACTGCTGTACCCCTATTTTTGACATTTTTACCTATAATGACTGTTTGTTTTGTTTACACATCAATATAATGGAAATGGAATTTTATGCGACTGTCATACAAGTGAGAGGTTTAGCTAGCTATACAATCAGGTTTTATCCACCATCTACTACATAAAGAAATGCCTGTACCAAGCCAGGAATATGATAGTTGTTTTCCATTGGTTTGGTGTGTTTGAGCTTTTGATTTAGCCATTTGATAAGGGACTTTCCGATTTGAATTTTCCATGGAGTTCGGTATTTTTGTTATTTTACTTTTTTGTCACAATGCTAAAAGTAATAGTCAAAGTCCCACAACTCCCCTTAGAATGGTCGGATCAAAATGACGGCATAATATGGTCCACTACAGATGATGGCATCCAATCCTACCAAATATTAGAGCCTTCTGTAAAACAGTCTCAGAAGAGGTGTGTTCACAAAGTGTAATGGTCACAATACTTAAAATAAATGTTCAAAGTTCAATAGCTCATGTAAAAATTATCGATTCAAAATGGTGGTACAATAAGGTCAAGTTTTCTCTTAAACGGACTCAGATGCGATGCGTTCACAATGTGTCATTGTTACAAAACAAAACAAAATTGTCAAAGTCCAATAACTCCTTTAAAAATGGTCGATTGAAAATGGTTGCACAATATGGTCAAATACACATGATGGAAAACTATACTACAAAGTATGAAAGCTTTCACTAAAACGGACTCAGAGGAGTTGCGTTCACAAGGTGTTATTGTTATAATACAAACCAGTCAAAGTCCAACAACTCCGTTGAAAATGGCCGAATGAAATAAGGTGGTACAATATTGTCAACTACATATGATGGCAAACAATCCTCCCAAGTATTAAGTATGGCTCCACCTCATAATGCAGAGGGTGATACACTGATAGCTGTAAAATTGGCATTTTTGGGCTTCATTTGATTTTCGATATTTTGATAGAAAAATCATAACAATAACAGAAACACATGTGTTGTACATTTAGTTGCTATGGTTACAATAGCACCATAACAATCCTTTAATTTAAGTCCTAAAGACCTCATAAAGTTCTGTTTTTCATCACAGATTTTTTTTATAAACTTTCGATATAATGAATACATGTTATCATAGTTACACATCTATTCTAAAATTAAAGTTGATCAAAAGAAGGTACAACTTTGGCAACTCTCGTTTCCATAGCAACCAAACAATACAGTTTTGCATTTTCTTAAAAGGGGGAAAATAACGTTTTTCATCATCTATCTTCTTCCATGAACAGGGTCCTATGAAAAACCTGTTTGTTTGCATTTGTTTATTGTACCTTCTTCTGTATCATATTAAAAATAATCGTAGCCTCCTTTAGATTTTCTGGAAAAAAATAAGGTTTTGTTTGTCTCATTTTATTTATTGCTGATAAATTTTGTTAACAGTAAGCTAGTTGATTTTCATATTTTCAATTAGCACAATTCATTTTATACTGTCTTTTTCACTTCTATTATATCCAAACTGTATAACAAAGTAAAGAAAACAGTTAATTGATTAAATTTATTCTTATATGAAACTGATTCATTTATCAGTAAATATTTTCAAAATTTTGCTCTGGATACTGTAAACAAAATATAATTATCTTTTTACGCATAAGAGAGAAATTCACGTGACAAAAAAAAACTATAATTTATGTTCAAGCAGTCGCTGAACCAGGAACATAAGGTCAAGGATAATGGACACTTGACAGACGGAAACTTCTTAACATAAGGTATATGCTAAAGGTATGAAGCATCCAGGTCTTCTAACTTCTGAAATATATAGCTTTATACAAATAGTTTACACCGCCGCCGCCGCCGCCGCCGCCAGATATTAATTCCTATGTATCGCATACTGCAGAGTTGTATTCGAGACAAAAATCAATTAAAAGTAGGAATTTCTTTATAATTCTATGATAAATAATTTTGATAACTTTTATAACTCCTTTCAAGTATAACTGTATGTGTGACTGTAAATATTTTATTATTGTTTTTAATTCACAAAGGTCATCCAAAAGCGTTTTAACGGAGTTACAGAATTCTACAGAAACTGGCAAGACTACGAAAATGGATTTGGTGATCTTAATGAGGAATTTTGGTTAGGTAAGATCTTTCATTTATTTTCATTAGTTGAAGGTAAATGATAAATAATCAGTCTATTCTAATGTTTTCAACGATTAACCGGGTGACCGGTTGATCGTCAGAAGAACGAAATATCGAATATCAAAATCATTAACCAGTTAATTGACCCTTTTTTCAATTCTAATGTATATCTAAATCATAAAAACAATACTAAATTTCAACATGATCATCGTGGTACTTAATCAGATCAAATATACATCATAATTGTAACTTGATAACAATGAATATATCCCAATTTTACCTAAATTAATTAGCAGGAAATCACTTTGTCTATCAGTTTGAGGAATAATCTTAAGTTAACATAATTTGTAAAGTTATGTTAAACCACAAACATTGAACAGTTGTTGACGATTTAGTTCATTTCAACTTAATATTGAGTTGACGTAAATGTATAAATGCAAATCATCCATATCCAAGGTTTGGTCATATTTCAAACGAAATATTGATACAAAAGTTGCGAAATGCAAACTTCACGTATACTGGTCGTTCAAGTAACATGCCGACATGAACAATACATAACGCTCTAGAAAAGTGTGTGACGATAAAATTTAATGCATCGAATGAAACAACCCTACATTGGTGATAAAGTACTATACATATATAAGAGTATGACATTTGGAATGCCACTGGAAAATGGTTATATTTGATAGAGAGAGATATTTAGCTTTGCAACAAACAACCTATGGACTCTTCAAACAGTTGTAGCAAGGGTTATTGACTTGCGAAAGGCGCGACACTTTCTCTACAAGAGACATCAAATATAACGTCCCCATTCTGACCAGACGTGGCTGCGAATTCATATCTATACCACACAGCCAAAAACAAGCCCAGATTTTTACTGCATGTCGGAAGAAGGCCACAAATGACCATATTTCTATACCTCAGTCACCAGGATACATTATTTTTGACATTAATTTTCATATCTGTTATCCGGTTAATCGGTCGAAAGATTTTCCGAATAAACGGTTACGCAAAAATGTTCAATTTGACAACACTAGTCTATTCATAAAGATTTAGAACAAAACGCGTTGGTTGTGCTAAACTTTGCAGTCATTGTACTGATATATTTTTTCAATGAATTTAATCGCACAATTTTAGGAAATAAATATATCGCCTTGCTGACATCACGAGGAAACCATGAACTGAGGATTGACCTGGAGGACTGGAGTGGTGAAAAAAAATATGCTCTCTTTAAAAGTTTCCGAGTTGGTGATCAATCTACGAATTACAGACTGGCTATTAGTGGGTATTCGGGAAATGCAGGTAGTTATTACATAATGTTATAAGTGCACCGCAGGAAAACACTTTTATTTTTCAACATGCATGCACGTGATTACAGTTTGCTAGGAAATTTGTATATGCTATACAAAGCCACCATCATCAGACCTAGACGTGACTGTTAACTTTTGCGACTAAACGGGAATCTTACATTAAAATATATCGACAGATAATTCCAAATGTTATATTCTTTTTAATGCAATCACTTAGAGAATTGATGAGCTTAATTTAAGATCAAATGACCAACCCATAGGATAAAAAACATGTACTTTTAAATTGTCCATTAGATGAGGATCTAAGACATGCTATGTTTATTGATATATTGTATTATAATGATATGTGTCTAAATTTGTCTGATGAAGAAATGTATATGTTTTTTTTAAAAATATCAATATATGTAATATTGTTGCCAAAACCTGCAATAACATTTTAACAAGGAGAAACAGTATTTTATATCATTAATTGCTCTTTGTAATATTTTATATATAAATTGGTATAGATATGTTTTAAAATAGTCTTATATAATTCTTTTAAGAATGGCACACACATATATTTTACTTGTTTTTATATATATATGTATCTTGTTTTAAATGTATGTTGTGTGTGGTGAGACTTTAATAAACTATTGAATCTTGAATCCCATACTAAGGGTAGCAAGTCCTGTCTCGAAATCGTAATACATCTATTTCTTGAAGTCGCTCGCTATTTGTGCATCCAGATTTCGGGGTTATTATAGTGTTGTTTTCATTTTGTATACCTTTGTATTTATATTTTACTTAATTTGTACTTAATCAGGAAAGTGTATATGTCATCATATTTTACTATACTGTATGTACTATGAACTGCACAAACTTTTTTTATTGGCATCTTTGTCAGATTTGTTTGTAGGTTTATTTGAATTTCTTTAGTCAGTTATATTGTATATCTGTGATGTATGTTTACACAGTTTTGGCTGCTGGATCCCTGTTATTGTCACGTTAACCAAAAACCTCTGTTTGAATTGCTCATCTAATTTATTCAATATAACGGAACTATAAACAACTGTCATTCAAGAGGTTTAGCTCGCAATAAAACCAAGTTTAACCAACCATTTTCTTCGGAAAATGCCTGTACCCAGTCAGAAATATGACAGTTCTATTCCATTCGTTCCATTGGTTGATATAGTCAAGCGTTTGATGGTTTTATGGAATTCATCTTTTACCTTTGAGTTCGGTATTTTTGTTAATACACTTTTCTATGAAGACAAATCATGCATCATACGATTTGATATGTATTTACTTCACGATTATGTAACTTTTTTTTACGTATCAACCCTATGTTAAAGAAATACAAATTTTATTCATTCACCATCTCCTCCCCATTCTAATTTGACAAAAACAAGATGTGTTGCCTATGCTATAGGAGCGCGTGGACACTCATTGTCATTAATATGCTCTCATGATTACAAATAATGTGAGGATATTACGCAAAATCACAATATTTTGTTCAAAGTATAGAACGTCTCTGAAAACGATTGGTTAATGAAAATAAAGCTTTTTTGTGATTCAGGGGTTTATTTATTAATAAAAGTTACATATTCGTTGAGTAAAATAAATATGAAATCGAAGAATGCATTATGTATCGATCTCTCTTAATAAGAGTTTCTTTTGTTGAAATATCAATCTATCTGCATCTTTTTTGTTTAAACGGGTGGAATGACATGACATAATGATTGTCCCTTCACCACGACCACTTACAATCGTGACAACGATTTGATCCACAAAACCATAAAATATTTCGTGTTTATGATTTAGCAGGCCAATCTACAATAATTCAATTTTACCGCTTACAATAATGTGAAAGATGGACCATGACGGTCATTCGTTTTATAAATACTTCATTAAAAGAATATTAGAAATCCCGATAAAAATTGTACAGCAGACCACATCAACAACCAACACTCTAATCTTCCCAACCAAAAATGAACATAAATCAGGACAAACCACAACAAACAACATACGGTCCAGTTAGCCTAACGTGTTTATGAATGCACAAATTGTTGTTGGGTAAAACAAGTTTGACGTGTGCACAAACATCCCCTTTTAAAACGGGGTTAAACTCGTTTGAAGGCGGCATATATAGACCGTATGTCATAAAACTGAAACACACATTACACAACCTTCACTGTGTAACTACCAATAGGATACCCACTAACTTTAACAAGGAAATATAACGGCACGTAGTGCGGAAATCAGAGTTAGAATCTGCTCCTGATTAAAGGTAACTAGCGAAGGCAGTTACAGCTGTTTGTTGGATACTAACGCCCAAGAACAATAAAATATTGAAACAGAAGTTTTCTATTCATAACAGTTGTATGTTTTATAAATGAAAATTACTTAAATTCTATTTTTTTTATTTCAGGTGATAGTATGACGTATCATAACAATATGCTTTTCTCAACTTATGATCGTGATAACGATAGATATTATCTAAACTGTGCAGCTCACTATAGATTGAAAGGTGCATGGTGGTACAAAAGCTGTTTGATGTCTAGTTTGAACGGGAAATATTCCAATAGGTCTTATTCAGGAGGAATAAAGTACTTGCCATTCAACACACTCAAAGGGTCTACTATGATGATCAAAAGAACTTAAAAAAAAACATCAATCATAATTTATGTTTTCACAGATTTCTTTCCTTTTGGTCTACTTCTGTTTTTTACATTATTAATGCCTCCGATGTCAAGAAAAACAGATACACACCATGCTTTATTCACACTCTGATGGATTTCGTTTTTGAAGAAATAGTTATCTGTCGTATACCTGTGTCAATAAAACAACTATCGCCAAAAAAACAAATGACGTGGATGTTAGCAACAGTTTTCTATAGGTCACCGTACGGCCTTCAACAATGAGCAAATTCCATACCGCATAGCAAGATATAAAATCATATAAATATATTAAGTTTGTTAAAGTACACTACACGAAAAGGCAGATTTACAACAATTTGGGCAATCATGTAAATGTTTGACAAATGTAACTATTTTCAGCCAGATATATTTGCATACCTACTAATGTATATGTAAATGTATTATTCCTTTTGGCATTATATAGGACGTCCTCAAAGATATGCTAAAGATAGTTATTTTATTTCCATAGCTTTATTCATATTCCAAAGATATGTAACGATAGGCCTTAGATTTGCATACACTTTCCAGGATAGGAGATATATGCAAAGTTTAAAATTTGCATAACTGTTTTACAGAGGTGTGGGCAGTTTTGAGAGACCGCGGTTTATAAAACATTTACAACCAATGTAAATGCTGTCAAATGTTTCTGTTATACTTGCAAACGTTTCTCGATATCGTTAATGCATGTAAAGAAATGTATTTTATTACCTATTTTGATAAATATTGATATTTGCAACATATCTTTACAGACGTATGCAAAGTTTTGAGAGACCGCGGTTTATAAAACATTTACAACCAATGTAAATGCTGTCAAATGTTTGTGTTATATTTGGAAACGTTTGTTGATATCGTTTATGTATGTAAAGTAGTGTATTTTATTTACTAATACTTTCCATTATCATAAATATTTTGATAGATATCGATATTTGCTACATATCTTTACAGACTATGCACAGTTTTGAGAGACCGCAGTTTATAAAACATTTACAGCCAAAGTAAATGCTGTCAAATGTTTGTGTTATATTTGCAAACGTTTGTCGATATAGTTTATGTATGTAAAGACATGTATTTTATTTACTAAAACTTTCCATTATCATAGTTATTTTGATGAATATTGATATTTGCAACATATCTTTACAGACGTATGCAAAGTTTTGAGAGACCGCGGTTTATAAAACATTTACAACCAATGTAAATGCTGTCAAATGTTTGTGTTATATTTGCAAACGTTTGTCGATATCGTTTATGTATATAAAGAAGTGTATTTTATTTACTAATACTTTCCAGTATTATAGTTATTTTGCTAAATATCGATATTTGCATCATATCTTTACACAGGTATGCAAAGTTTTTGAGAGACCGCGGTTTATAAAACATTTACAACCAATGTAAATGCTGTCAAATATTTGCTTATTTTTGCAAAAATTTGTCGGATGTATTCATGTACGTAAAGAAATGCATTTTATTTACTTCATAGTTATTTTATGAAACATGGATACTGTTAAGTTGTCTTTACACAGGTATAGCTTTGCGAGACTGCAGTTTATATCTCGCATGCACAACAAACGAAAATGAGGGTTGTGATTAGAGCTAAAAGAAGAAAAAAAGAAAATAATTTACTCACAAAAAAATAGATAAAAAGGGTCTAATATATAAAGAATAGAAAATAATCATGACAATGGACATAAAATATAAAAAAAATAGAGAAATATTACCTAAATTATCATAGAATACAGATATGACAGACCCCATCCAGACCCTAGTAAATGCTGTAAGATGTGTCGATTATTTCGCATTTACGGGGGAGAAAATCCATATATTGTATAGTAATTTTTGCAGCAAAGTTCACGTATTGATGGTTTCAGAGAGTCACACCGAGCGAATATTTGAATTGAAGTAGATATTGTTCTTCCCGATTCAAAACAGAACTGATTGAAGATATAATTAATGATATTAAAAATGGCAGGGTGCTTTTCAAATGTCGGACCGATGATATTTTTTTTCTATTTGAATAAATAAGAAAATCTCCATAGCTTTACTCTAGAACCATGAAAAATATTTTAAACAGTAATGGGGAAATTTAGAAGGATTGACAGCCTTTAAACTCATGTTGCGCTTGCAACCCTTAGAGTACTTTTTACACTTCTCGGAACGCTCGGTTAATTTTTATTTGATCTACTTGAATCGTCTTTGAATTCTCATAGCATATGATATGTGTCAACATTCTTTTTTTACTGAAAACTTTACAGAAAATTGTAAGAGTGGTCAGGGGCACCCCAATCTTTATCTTAGTTAATGAAAATAGCAAATGCAGTTT